CAATTTGACCGGCTCCCACAAGCTCAAGCCGCTGGTGGTCGGGGGCCTTCGCGATCCCCCCAGCCTCCGCCATCACAACCAGGACAAATTCCCTGCTTGCTACCGCTACAGCCCCGAAGCCAGGCTGGGGCCGGCCCTTCTCCGGGCTTGGTTCTTTGAGGACTTCGTGCCAGGCGTCAAACGCTATCTGCGCCGGAGCTGCTTGCAGCAGAAGGCCGTGTTGTTGCTCAGCTCCCCGCCACCCTCCTCCGGGACGGGCCCCGAGGAATCCCCCCCGCTGCAGACACCTGACGGCTCCATCCGTGCCCTCTTCCTCTCCAAGGGCCCTGCTGGGAGCGGCTCAGTTGGAGGAGGAGGCCGAATCCCAGCGCCACTGGAGCAGGGGGTGGTGTCCGCCTTCAAGCAGCTCTACAAGCGGGAATTGCTGCGCCTCGCCGTCTCGTGCACGGCTGGTGGCAGTGGTGGCTCGGGTGGTCCCATGGACTTTGTGCGGTCCTTCCTCCTCAAGGACATGTTGTACCTGGCCGGCCTCTCCTGGGACCTCATCCCCCCCGGCTCGATTGAGAAGTGCTGGCTGCTGGGGCTGCGCGCTGCCTTCGAGCCTCAGCCTGGGGAGGAAGAGCACGGAGACCCTCCGCATGGGGAGGAAGGTGGTGGGGACAGCAAAGTCTTTAGCGACCTGACCCACCTGGCTGCATTGGCCTACAAGCGCTTGGCTCCCGAGGAGGTGGCCGACTGGTTGCACTTGGATGACGCAGCCCCGGGTATGGAGGAGGACGATGGGGAAGAGGATGCTGAGGAGGAAAGCCCCGGGGGCTGCGGGGCAGAGGAAGAGGAGGAGGAGGAGGAGGAGGAGGCAGCTGCTGGAGATGGGGGTGGCAGAAGGGGTGGGGAAGGAGGAGATGCCTTGCTGCCCACGGCTCGGCGCACCCTGCAAATGCGCTCTCTCACCAGCATGGCCCAGCGGCTGCACCGTGGCGGCAGCCCCCATTCCTAGGACAGGGCGACCCACGACCTCTTGGCTACCAACCGCCCTGCTTGGGGTGGGAGGCACGGGGCTTTGGACACCCTGGTTGTCCCGGGGGGGGCTGGCAGTGGAGGTGCCAGCTCCCCTCACCCCTCCGTCACGGGCAGTCCCTGAGGCTCAGGAGGCCCGAACGCCCCTGGGTTACCACAGCTAAGGGGGGGTTAACAATTTAGGGCTAAAGGGGGGGGTTCGTGCAACAACCCCTCCGTACCTTGCGTACTTGAGGGTTGTTCCTCACCCTAAGTATCTTTAGGAGGTGCTATTTTTTAAATCCCATGAGTCTTCACAGGGGTGGCCCCCTGATCGCTGGCACCGCTAGAAGGGGGTGGATGCCTCCCACGCTGCCCAGTGCCCCCCGACCCCGTGGGGAGAAGGGGGGCGAGGGAGGGACCTGCTCAGCATCACTGCGAGGAGCTGGGATGATGGGGGAAGTTACAGTAATTCCCCACATCTCGGAGTGGGGTTGAGGTCGGCACAGCTGCCTGGACAGGGACCACTCCTGGGGTGCTGTAAGGCGAATGCTCTACCCTGGAAGAGGCTGGTGACGCCCTTCCCGCTGCCAAACCAGAGTCCTGTTAAACTGGGGAGGTTTGGGGTTGGTTTAAGACAACTTTCTTCATGCACTGGATTGGGAAGGGGACACTTGGGTGGCATCCAAGAAGCTGTGGCTCCCTGGAGAGGGTCAGCTCCGGCATTCCCGTGACAGCCCCGGGCCCTGGGAACGCTCAGACCACGGAGACCTGCTGAAACAGGTACCATCATCCTCGCAAAGCCAAAGGCTCCGGGGATGGGGGGTTGAGGTGTCCCTCCCCAGGGTTTGTGGGGTGTCTGGGGCTGGAGGAGGTGTCTTGCGGTGCAGGGGAGATGGCTGCCGGCGTGATGTGCATCGCGAGTTGGGACGGGAGCGGGGAGGGCTCCCGGTGCTGCCTTGAAATACCGGAGGCATCAGATGTGAATTTAGCAGCTCTTGACCTGATTTGGATTAAATTTTAGCCTGCTTAGCCAAATTATTGAAAGGAGGGAAGAAAAAAAAAAAGTAACTCATCAGCGCTGCCGTGCCCCGTGTCAGCAGGCAGGGTGGGTGTTTTTACTTGTCGGGTCTTTGTCTCATAACTTCAGAGTTTATGAAAATTAAATGAATTTTTATTCCCACTTTGGGGTTGTTGTCTGTAAACGGTCGCACAGAGCCATCCCAGCGGGACAGGGGAGGTGGCACAAGGGGGAACTTGCATGCGCTTGTGTCCTCTTGGTGTGGTCTTCTCCATCGCGTTCCCCACCTCTCCGCAGCCCGTTTAACACGGGGGGGCCGGGCGGCCCCCGGAGCCACTGCGGCTGCTCCCCAAATTGACTTTTTATTAGTAGGGTTAACTTGCCAATAAATGAGGCTTTTTTTTTTTTCTTTCTCATTGTTTTTATCATCTTTGGCACCAAAAAAACCCTCTACAAAACCATTTTAGAGCTTGGGATGTGACTCACTTCAAGCAGTGGTTTGTGAATTAAAGGGGTTTTCAGTTGTTTGGGGTTTTCAGTTGTTTGAGAAAAATGTTGCCGAGCTCAGCAGAAGGTGGCAGGCTGGAGGTCTTCACTTCTTGCGTAGGTCAGCCTGGGTGCGCTTGCGGCACCGTTTGCCCTGGTTTGGGGAGGTGACAAAATTGAATCATTGGATGGTTTGGGTTGGAAGGGACCTTCAAAGATCATCCACCCCCCCTGCCATGAGCAGGGACATCTTCAACTGGATCAGGTTGCTCAAAGCCCCATCCAACCTGACCTTGAATGGTTCCAGGGATGGGAACCACCTCTCTGGGCAACCTGGGCCAGTGTCCCACCACCCTCATGTTAAAAATAAATATTTATTTTAAATGGGCACACATTGCTAGCCCGTGGCCACTTTTTCACCCACCAGTACCCCCATGTCCTTCTCCTCAGGGCTGCTCTCCATCCCTTCATCCCCTAGTCTGTATCAATACTGGGCATTGCCCTGAGCAAGGTATGGGTCCTTGCACTTGGCCCCGTTGCCTTTTATGATGTTCACATGGGCCAGATCCTCCAGCCTGTGCAGGTCCCTCTGGATGACACCCCTTCCCGCAAGCAAATCATCTGCTTCACTCAGCTTGGTGGCATCTGCAGCCTTGCTGAGGGGGCACTCAATCCCATGATGTCATTGATGAAGATATTTAGTAGCATTGGTCCCAGTACAGACCTTTGAGGGACACCATTCATTACTGGTTTCCACTTAAGCCATTGACTGTAACTCTTTGGACATGGCCATCCAGCCAATACCTGATCCATCTAATGGTCGATCCATCAAACCTGTATCTATCTCTCCAATTTAGCAGCAGGAACATTGTGCGGGACTGTATCAAAGGCCTTACAGAAGTCTAGGCAGATGACATCAATGCAGTTGCTCCATTGTGGAAGGCCACTACCGTTGTCAGGCACGATTTGTCCTTGGTGAAGCCACGTTGGTGGTCTCTAGTCACCTTCCTGCCTTCTGTATGTCTCAATGTGCCTTCCAGGAGGATCTGCTCCATGATCTCACTGGCCAGGACGAGATGCCTCTCGAAGGCAGGAGTACTAGCAGTAAGGTAATAGCAATAATTTACCTGCAGTGGGTGCTGGCTTTTTAAAGAAAATTAATGGAATTTAAACCGTTTTTGTTAAAACTAGCACTTAGCAAAACGATGAAGGTCATCAGCATCCTGGCTTTGGGGTTGAACGTGTCGCTTCTCTGAAAGACAACCTGAAAACCCAAAGCTCAAGAGGTGGACACATGGAGATAGGAAATGGGCAGGGGCTGGGGTCAACCGCGTCGCAAGCGGCGGGGCTGGATTTGGCCAAGGCTTTTTGGCAAGATAATTAAAGAGCTGTGTGGAGGACACGGAAGAGATGGAGACACCCAAGAATGAAATATTTCAGAGAGATCAGCAGAATCGCCTTGCGGGGGGACACGACCTGGGGACAGGGTAGGGGTAAAAGTGGGCAGAAGAAGGACAAAGGAGCTACCAGGTGGCTTGGAAACCTTGAGGGCCACTGCTGCCTTGCACCACCTGGTTACCACGGTGAAGCGTAGAGATGGACAGGAGAGACAGGCAGGCTCGAGCTCCGTCTCCAGCTTTAGTGCAGCTTTGCTAATTAATTGGGTGCCTCAGGAAAGTGCCCAGGGAGGTCATTTCTTGGCGTGACCCGACAGCGCCACAGGGCTGCGGCGTCTCTCTTGGCTTGGTGCCGCTGGCATCTTGGGGTGACGGCATCCTTGGGGACGGGCTCAAAGCCGTAGGAGCCGGAGGCTCAGCATCCAGCTGTTTCACCAGCGATGTTTTGCCCAGAAAAAGCCTTTCATCTTGAAAGCAGTTCGCAAATCATCACTAATTGCATCCGTTCAGGTGCCGGCAGGCAAACGAAGCTTAATTAGGACACGCAAAAGGCTCAGATCCTCTCCAGATAGGCCAGCTTTGAGTTTCTGCTCCCTTGATGTGCAGCACCCCGGGGCCGAGAGCAGATCTGGGCTTCCATCCCACTGCCTTGCTGCCGGAGCAAGACCTGTCTGCAGGACCGTGGTGCAATGCTGGTGCCCGGCCAGGGTAGGAGGTGGAGGTTTTTCAGCCATTTGACTTCTCGCCCACGGTTCTGGGATGTGGACAACAGCTCTGCGTTCATGCACGCATCTCCAGAGCCGAGCAGGCATCGGTGCCCGCGTGTAACCCACGCACCGAGCGCTCCTGCTTGGCACCGAGTTGGGAAATCAAAGCCTTTCTCTGTGCTCACCCACATCATCCTGCCAGCTCCCTGCTTCTCAAGGTCCCTTGGCATCCTCACAGCACCCACCGACGGTCCTCGCCTCTTGCTGCAGGGATGCGGCCGCTCTGCCCAGCCCCAGCAGGCTTGATTTGGGATCAGCCCATCCCCAAAACCCCGTCCCCATCCTTGTCCCCAGTGCCATCCATCCTGGCACAGCGCCGGTGAGCCTAGAGCCAGCGTGGCATCAGCTCCATCCCTGCTGGCCCATGGTTGTCACCTCCTCGTGGAGGTGACCCCATGTTGGGTGCAGTAGCCCCCCCGCCAGGACTGAAGGGACCAGAAAGAGCCAAGCCTGCCATCATGCTGCCCACGTTTATTCGGTCCCAGCCCTGCAGAGGTAGCACGCGGCACGGATGTGGCTCCACGCCATCTCCCACCCCCAGCAAGGGTCTCCTGGGGGTGTCAGGGTCCCCGTGCTCCCTGAAGGGGTTTGGTCTGGTCCCCATCACCTCTCCTGCCCCCCGGGGAATGGGACAGAGGGACTCATCTGCAGCCAGACCGCTAGTCCTTGGCCATGTCACATGCCCGGTTGGTGGCCGCCTCCACGGCGTTCATGACAGTGGCCCGCAGCGCGCCCTTCTCCAGTTGGTGCAGCGCGTGGATGGTGGTGCCGCCGGGAGTGCAGACGTCTCCTCGCAGCTTCGCCGGGTGCTCCCCCGTCTCTAGCATCATCTTCGCTGCACCCTATGGAGAGACCAGGGTGGGTCAGAGAGAAGGGGACCTCCCAACCCCCATCTCCTTGCCCGGGGACTGGATGGCAGCATCCTCCCATCGCCCACGTCCCGTGGTGGGGGGACAAGGCACCGAAGCATCTGTCCCACCACCATGCCCTTTGCCATCTCTTGGTGGCCTCATCTTTGGTTTCAAGAGGGGAAACTGAGGCAAGAGGCCATCCAGCACCTCCTCCCTCACTCTGCCACCCTACCGGGTGCTGCAGAGCCCAGGGCAGCGATGGTGACAGGGTGCCCAAGCCGGGTGGGAGCGGTGGGGCAGGAGGGAGAGGAGCAATGCTGGGTGTCCCCAAGCGACAGCACCGACTCACCAGCAGCGTCTGAGCCGCGATCCTGCTGGCTAAGCCACCCGGCATGCCCATCTTCACCGCTCCCTCGGCCAAGGCTTCGGCAAACAGGTAGACCTGGGGGAGGAGACCATGGGGGTGAGCGTGGCACAAAGGGGGGACCCCAAACCCCAAGGCTGCACGGGTGGGATTTTTGCCAGCATCCCATGTCCCGTCAGTGAACTTGGTGCCCGCCGAGCGCGGGTGCTTACATAGGCCACCCCACTGCCGCTGAGGCCGGTGTGGATATTGATGTAGGATTCGGGGACCTCCTCGCAGAGCCCGCAGGAGGACAGCAGGCTCTTCAGCAGGGCGGCTTCCCCGTCACCGGCACCGCTGCCTCGGGCGAAGACCATTGCCCCTGCCTGCACCACGCATGGCAGGTTGGGCATGAGCCGCAGCACCTTGGTCCCGGCAGGGAGAAGCTGGGGAAAGATGGGGATGGGAGAGAGGTGCCAGCTCTGGGCAGCACCCAAGGGTGCCCTGAGGCACCGATGGGTATCACCCATTGGGGCTGGAGGAGAAGCATGGTCCAGGGGGATGGACCTGGGGATGCAACCCAGGTGGGGACAGAGCCGCAGCAGCGTGTCCTTCTCCCTGAGCCTGGGTGCAAATAGGAGGAGAAGGAGGAAGAGGAGGAGGAGAAGAAGGAGGAAGAAGAGGAGAAGAAGGAGGAAGAAGAGGAGAAGAAGGAGGAAAAGGAAGAGGAGGAGAAGAAGGAGGAAAAAGAGGAGGAGGAGGAGAAGGAAGAGGAAAAGGAGAAGGCTCACCCGCTGCAGCGTCTGGAGGGTGATGCCAGCCGCCAGCGAGACGACGATGTGGTGGGGTCCTACGGCAGGACGGATCTCCTGCAGGACACCTGGCAGGACATGGGGTTTGGTGGCCAAGAAGACCAGGGTGCTCTCCTGCAGCACCTCCAGGTTGCAGTGCGTGGTCCGGCAGCCCGACTCCTGCCCACGGAGCAGGGAGAGGTGTCACAGCCCGGCACCCCCCAGCCCCGGCACCCCCCTGGGGAAGGCGCATTCGCATGCGGGGACATGGCTTGGGGACCCACGCTGGCTGCAAAGCCAGCCAGGCTCTGCCTGGATTTCACCCAGACCTGGGAAGGATGAGCCAAAGCCCTGCGGCGGGGGGGAAAAAAGCTGCCTCAAAATGGTGGCAGGGGGTACCCCAACGTGCCTCCCACCCCTACGGCCACCGAGCGGGGTGGCTTGTCACCCCATCTCCCCACTCACCCTCCAGGCGTCCAGGTTTTTGTCCGAGGGAGCGCTGGCCAGGATGCTGCTGGCTGGCACCTTCCCTTGGGGAAGACAGGGACCGGGGTGAGTGACCGGGGTGGCACCGGGGAGCTTGGGGACACCCCAAGGCAGCCTGGGCACCCCGATTTCAGCCGGAATGCACTCCCCCCCTTCAACCCTGGCCTGATCAGCCTGGGGGACAGCAAGCAAAGGGGGCCGGGGCCTGATCCTGCCGGTCCCGCCATCAGTACCCCACGGGGGTGGGGGCCTGATCCTGCTGGTCCCGCCATCAGCACCCCACGGGGGCCGGGGCCTGATCCTGCTGGTCCCGCCATCAGCACCCCACGGGGGCCGGGGCCTGATCCTGCTGGTCCCGCCATCAGCACCCCACGGGGGCCGGGGCCTGATCCTGCTGGTCCCGCCATCAGCACCCCACGGGGGCCGGGGCCTGATCCTGCTGGTCCCGCCATCAGCACCCCACGGGGGCCGGGGCCTGATCCTGCTGGTCCCGCCATCAGCACCCCACGGGGGCCGGGGCCTGATCCTGCTGGTCCCGCCATCAGCACCCCACGGGGGCCGGGGCCTGATCCTGCTGGTCCCGCCATCAGCACCCCACGGGGGCCGGGGCCTGATCCTGCTGGTCCCGCCATCAGCACCCCACGGGGGCCGGGGCCTGATCCTGCTGGTCCCGCCATCAGCACCCCACGGGGGCCGGGGCCTGATCCTGCTGGTCCCGCCATCAGCACCCCACGGGGGCCGGGGCCTGATCCTGCTGGTCCCGCCATCAGCACCCCACGGGGGCCGGGGCCTGATCCTGCTGGTCCCGCCATCAGCACCCCACGGGGGCCGGGGCCTGATCCTGCTGGTCCCGCCATCAGCACCCCACGGGGGCCGGGGCCTGATCCTGCTGGTCCCGCCATCAGCACCCCACGGGGGCCGGGGCCTGATCCTGCTGGTCCCGCCATCAGCACCCCACGGGGGCCGGGGCCTGATCCTGCTGGTCCCGCCATCAGCACCCCACGGGGGCCGGGGCCTGATCCTGCTGGTCCCGCCATCAGCACCCCACGGGGGCCGGGGCCTGATCCTGCTGGTCCCGCCATCAGCACCCCACGGGGGCCGGGGCCTGATCCTGCTGGTCCCGCCATCAGCACCCCACGGGGGCCGGGGCCTGATCCTGCTGGTCCCGCCATCAGCACCCCACGGGGGCCGGGGCCTGATCCTGCTGGTCCCGCCATCAGCACCCCACGGGGGCCGGGGCCTGATCCTGCTGGTCCCGCCATCAGCACCCCACGGGGGCCGGGGCCTGATCCTGCCGGTCCCGCCGTCAGCACCCCACGGGGACCGCTACGGGCACCCCATTGTGCAGCGGACCCAGGGAGGTCACCCCAAAAGCAGGGGCCGTCTCCTCCCCACTTTCTGAGTAGGGGCAGGGCTTGTCCCCGCACTGCCCTGTGGGGCTGGGACAGCCAG